AAACACCTGAGCACAGTTTCAGCCATCGGCTGGAAATCCAGAAATGTAGATCATTAAAAAGAGGGTGAAAAGTGAGTCAGTGAGAGAGAATTCAACAAAGGAGGCAGGTACAGCTAAAGGGTTAGTCCAACTAAAAAATAAAACCAAGTAAAAGAAAACAGGCAGGATAAAAGGGAGAAATACTCCCCAGAGGTCAATGAGACAGATCCAAGGGTAAGGGGTTAGGGCTATAAGCTGGAACAGCTGCGTGGGAGGATTTGATCACTGCGGGCCCCGTGGATCTCTGTGGTGCTTACAGCTGACAGGTCTCCACTTGGACACTGAGCTGAGCTTTCGCAGCCAACATGGAATAAAAAGCTATTAAAACTGTGGGCTATGGAAGGTGAAATATTTGATGTCTCTAATGCCCTAAAGGTTAGTTTTTTACAGAGCACTGCAGAGTGTGTTTTTGTAGTAAAACATGATGTCACAATTGCTGTTATGTGCTTGTGAGCTGAGCGGAGGGGAAAATGGCCTAGTGCTGCGTGCCCTTTAATGAGTGTCATTACAACTTGACACAGGGAGTCCAGACTGGCAATAATATTTCAAAAACAAAGATAACTGCGTGTGTGCATGTGTGTACATCACAGTCTGACTTTAGATAAATCATGTATGAGCAGCCAGTAGGGTCACACACACACAAAAGGCTGTTTAACTGTCTCAGTGAAGATGTGGTGGATACGTTCTGTAGCCTCAATCTGACTCCTGAAGATCTACTAATGTAATAAATAACCAAACTTCACACTGTCTGCTTTCAAAAGTGTGGCTGAAATAAAAAGTTAAACTAAGAAAAATGTGTTAAAGCGTTGGTCATTTGACTGACACTGCTGGACAGTATTTCTTTATATATTTTTGAATTTGAGATTTTTAAGCACATAGGCTGATACTTTGTGTTATTTTCCTGCTGTGTACTTGACTCTCTGTGAAGAGGATTGTTGAGAGAGAGATTGTGTTTAATATTAACCTTTTTCTTTTTGCTTGTTTTTACTCATAAAGATAAAGATGTTATAAAACTAATCCTAATAAATATTAATGTGGAACGAAGCTCGTCTGAGGAGCAGGTGACGGTGGTTAGAGGGGACACAGTCAAAGCTCTATCAGTCACTGGGCGATACAGGCGGTGTCTGTTGCTATGGTTTTCTAAGTATAAATAACTCTTAAGAAAACTAGCTGGTATCAACGTCCCCCCACAGGACGCCAGTCTTTTTTCATGCAAAGGTTTAGCCCGAGATCACTCTCCTGTAGTGCATAAAATGAGTTTGAAAACGTCAGCCTTCCTCGATTTTTTTGTCGAGTCGCATCCCTGTGTTTGTTAGGTAAATTAACTGCTAGCATGGGTCTTTAGTCCAACCAGCGCTGGTTCATCCAGATGTGCAGAAGAGTAAAAAAAAAAGGTCAAATAACGATAGAGGGCAGCAGCAGAGCGGAAGACAATCCAGAGAAAGTTAGAACCACAAGTCGTGTGCAACACAGTTTTGCTAACACACAGAAATCTGAGTTCACACACAATAGAGAGGTGGGCGTACTGTATTCCCCGGCCAGAAACAGCTAGTGCAACCTGACTGCTGGCATTTTTCTAAATAGCAGCAGGTCAACAGGTTCCTGCCCATGCCTTTTAGTGCTCCCTGGGATTTACATAATGTAATACAGCTACTTACATCTGAGCAAATGTTTCACCTCGTTGTTTTTATCTGTCCATAACCGAGCCACATAAACCATAAAAACAGATGTGGTCAGGATTAACAGGACTTATGTGATGACTGGGTGACTGGCTTTGTATTATTGACTTTTTATCTCTCTGACATTTACTGTATAATGTGAAATTATATACGTTACTTTCAAGTCCAGGTCTCTATAGATATGATTTTAAAAGAGGCTAATGTGTGCATGTATACATTAACTTTACAACGCCTTAGCCTGATGCTCATTGGCGAGCTAACTTTGGATGCAGTGTTTTAGAATCAAGACAAGACACTTGTTTCTGTTAGTGACCAAACTGGATACACACAGATCTATTTAATTGCAGTGTTTCATAACTTTTCTTCAGGTATCTTCAGGTCTGTCTTGACTGGCCATTCTATTTTTGCCCACTGTTCTATTGTCTACCTCATGACCGCTGGGAGCTTTGTGACACAGCTGCAGAGCCGCTGCAGAAGGTACAGACAGAAAGCAGATATCTGGTGAGAAATGAACAGAAAGCGAAGAGATTGAAGGCCCCTCTTGAAACTGTGATGCTGTTACTTCCACACCAGCTCCTCTCCTGCCTTATCACTCCGCCTGCCCAGCTCCTCTGATTGAACCGGCAGTGTCACAGTCTCTGGGTGAAACAGATTGCGCTGCCGTTTCTATTACAACCCACACCCCTACCCTCCCTCCTGTTGTCTGAGTCCCTGGTTCAGGCACCTGCTGTTTTTTTTTTGTTATAGGCTTTTCTCATTTGAGCCTGAAAAGCTCATCATTGCAGCCAGTGTCTGTCTGTGTGAATGGAAGCTTCTTTCACTTGCTGAGAATTTATGGTCATGGTGCCTGCAGAAAGGGGACAAAAACTGCTTCATGCTGCCTCCTTACATAATGCCTAAATGAACCACACTGCATCTTCTTCCTAAACCTGCAAGAACATGCTGTAGTCTAAGAGAAAACAGACCCTGAAACCTTCTCGCTCTGCAGATTGTTTCATTACATGATGATTTAATGTTCACAGAGGCATTTTCTTGCACTTCCCACCATTCTATGACTTGTATTTTCTATTCTTGGAATGCTAATCAGTATGACTGTGAACTGTCAAAATACAAATGTAAGAAATAATGAGACTCAAGTCATTAAAGACCAAGATGCAATTAAATCTTTAAGAGTTGGTTGGAGTTTTAGAAGCCATGTCACTCATTGTAGGAGCTGGATGGTTGTTGTTAAAGGGTCTGTACCATCACTGAAAAACTACAAGTCTGATATGTGTAACAAAACAAAGCAAACCTTAACCCATAAATAAGAAAATCTTAGTCAAAATCTCTCTAAACAACATAACCTTTAGAACTGAAATGATGAGTTCTTTGTTACACTGCAGTAAATTGAATACCACTGGGTTTCATACTGTTGGTTGGATAAAACAAGCAATTACAATAGTTCAACTTGAGCTTGGGGAAATTGGAACAGACAACTAACTGACCAAATATTCGGCAGTAAGCAGTGCAGTGCACTTCAAGCAACTTTACAGGGGTGGTAAATGTTTGGAACACAATAATTTATATTTTTAATGGCCTCGACTGCCCTGGTTAAACTGACGGAAGTCAGTGTACTGTAGATGGTTTTTTGACAGAAGCTGTTACTGCTAAAAGCTGGAAAGATGACGTGGGTGGACATCACTGACTGGGAAGAAACCAACAGCTTCAGTGGCGTTAACAACTTGTGCTGCAATAACTGTATGTTTCCTCAGCATGTCTCTGACGTGGTGTTCATTTGTTGAGTAATTACTGGTATACAGAAGGAGCTGAACATCAGGGAACAAGTTCTCCCGCCTCTGATTAAAGGCTGTGCTTATAGTATCCACTTGTCTGTGTGTTATATCTTGATCTTGAGGAAGACTGCTGCACGGTCGATACAATCTGGTCTCTTTTTCATTTATGCATCCATAATAATAGTGTTTTTTTTTTGTACTTTAATGAATCAGTGCTCTTGGAATTTTGTGGTTAATTCACTTTTTTGTGGATAATTGTTTAACTTTGACTCAAGAAGGGTTACATTTGAAATTAATAGTAAATAGTTTTAGATACTATATAGCAAAACCAAGGAGCATGCTAAATTTGACAAACTGATGACTGATTGAGTGAGCCCTACTGTAGGAGTCAGGGGAACAGCAGCCAGCCTGGAAGTTCACGTCATGACTTTGGCTCTCTGTACTATCAGTCTGTGTTAGTTGCACAGGCAAATGACTTTTGTGATGTTCTCTAAAATGGGAATGGAAAGTAGAAAGGTAAATGAATGGTCTCAGAGAGACAGAGCCAGAGAAGTTGCCTGAACGTTTTGTGTGCTCTGGAAAACAATGAGGGAATATTTGTGTGTGCTGACGAGCTAAATAAAAGAAGAGGAAAAGGCACGAGGGAGCAGTGCTGTTTAGACTCAATTCTGTACTTGATATGAAGAGTTAATTAGAGCCAATGGTGCATCAGTATCACATTCATGATTGTTGTGTCTAGCAAATGAAGCTGTATGACTGAACAGGACATCAACCTCCTCTAATGTTCTTCTTCTTCTTCTCTATCCGAACCATGTTTATCTCAGTTAATGTGTGCGCTGCGGTCTTCAGTCATATCAAACACTTGATAGGCTTGAAGTCAAGTGAAACCATTAACTGATGCTGCCTGGGAAATTATGCATCATGATATGTAATGCTGACACTAATGAAGTGTATGGATTAAAAGAATCAACTTGCAATGCTTGCTGCCTTTCAGTAAGACATTTTTTTAACATGAGAGTTCAGAGTTAGTGAGTGATATTTCACCCTGGAAGAACAATCGCACATATTAGCCTGCACACCTACACATGAGCTCTGGAACATTCTGCCTCTAGAACGAGAGCTGTTTTCAGGTTTCACTGGTCAAGACTCATCTTACTCACATTAACTTTTCAATATCAGTTCTAATCAGAAATTGCCGAGGAATTTATTTGTGAAACCTGCAACCATGGACAGAAGGCATAAGACAGTACAGCTGATTTGAATTAGTCTCCACTGTCATTTTTACATCAGCTGTTTGAAATGAGCACCATCACTATGGAAATCCAGGTTGCATGACTGAATTGACACAGTGCAGGGATGTGTGCTGAAGATGGGACACTGTTAAACCAGAGTGAAACATCGTTTGTTAGTGGTCAGTCTGGTTAGAAGTGCACAGTGAGGCGTTCGGGGCCCAGCAGTGCAAACCCCCGCAGGTCAGTGGTCACTGAGGACACACATCCCTCCCCCTTACCCTCCATCTCCACACTGATTGGCTCCGAGTCAGGTGACCCTTGTTCCCCAACGGGGGGAGGGTCATCAGGACCTGTACCTCTTTCAGGGTCACCTGCCTCCTTTGGGAGTGCCGCCCCATGATAGGTTGTGCTGGCGCTTGTGGGTGTGGTCTTCCCTGTGGTTGTAGCGAAGGGGGAAGGAAGAGGAGGAGGAGGGGCAACAGAGTGAGTGATTAGTGAAATGTGAATCAGTCTGAGCAATCAACTTCAGAGAAATGAGGGTGAGTCCTGAGTGGAGAGAAAACTGTCACCCGTTAACACCCGTGATGATAGTGAGCAACATGGTGAGCACACAGAGCAGAGCAGACGTTAATTCATCCATCACTTCACTTCCCCACAGATACACAGTGATTTACAGCGCCACAGTGTACTTTACCAGCTGTTAACACCCACAGTCAGTCTCAGGAAATTGTGGTTTTGGCATTCCAACATTTGCGATGACTGAATCCTGAATATTTCTTGAAGCGCTGCTATTATTTCACTCAGAAACATCCAGTTTACTTTAAAAATTATCTCGTAGCACATTTTGTGTCAAACCACAGCTATCTGTCAAAAGAAAACTCTGCTTGGCAAACTATTATAAATCCAAGATGAATTCTTGCAACAGGGTTTTTGGTCAGTACAATATTCTCTACACTACAATATTGCTCCTTGGTGAATATATTTGAAAGCAATGCCATCACAATATGAAAGAACCAAAGGCTCTTAGAATGTACGCTGTTGTTACTAATCCACTCAGTAATCATTTAACCCCGGTTCTCAACTGCATTTTTGTTTATAGCGCGTTTAACTCTGACTACTATACAAACTCCTCTCCGTCCGCTCTACTAAGTGTTTTCACAGATAAGTGGAAATAGATACTAGTGGCTGACAAGGCTATGGTTTTTTTTCCATTACAGCTCTTTTCCACTACCTCGTCCACACTGGGCTGTTTCACAGGAAACTCCATCACCTTGAAGCAGACCAACAAACATTACGACAGGCAAGTTTGGAATAATTTCAAACACGTCAATAAACACGCTGAGCATTAGCTGGTATTATCAAACGTATTTATCTGGCACACTCCACATCTCGAGTGCATTCTTAGCTTTCTGCTGTCCTTGAGGTCTGGGAGCAGCACGCTGCTATTGGCTCAGGCCCCTGCACTAATAAGCCAGCCACAATGTTAGCATTCCGCAGAGCTCACACCTAGAGGGGAAGAGAAGGGCTCGTTCGCTCTCTCACTGTGAGCCAGTTGACAGCGTTCACTCTGAATGAGGTGCCCCGTCAGTTCACCATCTGCGCTGGGCAAATTAAAACCGTACACCAGGGGGTGTTTGGCCCTGGCACCTTGGACAGCAGCTCCAAGACCAGGAGCATTACTTCAATTTATCACAATTGTGTTCTGCTGAGAGGGCACGTAGGATCAGATTGCTTGTCTTCTTTTACTTTTGATAAAGTACAAAAAAACCCTGCACATTATACAACAGAGGAACATTTGATTATCTACACAGACAGGCATTTGTTTCATGCCCTTCCCTCTGCTGGCTGCAATTGTTTGGGTGTTTGGGTAGAAGAAAGAAACGTCCCTGCCTTTGGTGCACATTCCAAAAGGGAGAGGAGCCCCTGTGTGACAACAGCTTTGTCTGGCATATTGGGTGTTTTATTGTGTAGGAAAAATGATAATTGATCTTCAGTGCAGAAACTTAAAAGGCCTTTTGTGTGCATCTACTAGGAAAACACACAAAAAAACAACAGAGGCTCTCAACGTGTGTTGGGAACTTCAAACAGTGCAGTGAAGCACTGGGGTGGCGAGAGCCCCACAGGATTCAGCAGTAGGGCTGCTCATCAAGTCTTGCTACCGACCGAATGTAATTCCTCCAGCAGGAGGCTTTACAGGCCACTGAGGCACTGCAAGACTGTGGAGGTCCAGGCTGAAGCCTCTGACAGACAAAGTGGTCTCTGTTCAGAGAGCGGGAGAAATGCAGGACGGATGCTTCTGCTGAGCTGAAATGGCCGACATCTTCCAGTATGATGAGCTCAGTGCTGATACTAATCACTGTGCTGGATCATCCACTGCCATTAGCTCCCCTGTGTCCCAATTTGTTCAGCGACATAAGGATCTCACTTTGAACAAGTCTTAAAAACTCCTCTAAAAAGTCGAGGTGGGTGCCTTAGTTGCGTAGATAAAAATGAACGAGTCGAGCCAAAGGCTATCTGATTAAAAATGTCTCATTTTGAACGCTGCAGCGTCAGATAATTGTTCCAACACCATCTCCTCAGTTTTATCTGAGAACCAGCCAGCTTGGCGGCAGGGGCTGCGCTGTGTGGCTGGTGGGGGAGTAATAGGACGTGACAGGGATGATGATCCTTCTTGATACAGAGCATTAGGCAGTGTGGCCAGCAGAGCTCCTGGTCCATGAAAGGAGTGATGCTTCAGACAAGGGCTTCAATGTTTAAGCTGTCAGACTGGCTGAGAGGGAGAGGGACCACTGGCCATTCAGCTGCTTCAAGTAACGATTGTGTATCCTCCCGAGCTGTGAAGTGTAGAAGCATTAACTTTGTATCCCTGTAACTGAATGAATCTAGTCCTTTTCTCAAGGCTTGATATGTTACTTGGAGGTATTTAAAATGTTTCAATTTTAAATAAAACAGGTGTGTCTTTTTTGTAGTTTTGACCGTCACTCCTACGGCTATATTTCAATCACTCTGTCAAAATTAGTAGAAAAGAATCAAACAAGGCAGGAACACAAACAGTGAGACAGTCCCACAGACCTAAACAGACCTCCAGGTTTATTTGGAGAACAACAAATGCAAATGTTAAAACCATTACCCAGTGTGTCTGTGGTAAATATCCATTTTAATTGATATATTATGCACCCACTTCCCGAATCAGTTTTGACAAACTGTACTTGCTGTGGCTACATTTACAATATCTACACAACAAGGAGCTATAGGCGCTTTCCACCAGAGGAACTTCTTCCCAGTACTTAGAACTGTTGGACAAAGTACCCCCTTTTTTGTGTGTCTGTACTTCAGGAACTGAGAAAGATAATACTTTAGTTCTTAGAACGCCATTTTGAGGGGCATTTTAGCTCCTACTCCACGGTAGGTACTCTCCAAGCCCAATAGGAGCCATGAGTAATGAATGAATGAACGTGCACATTGACTGCAGCTGTCTTAAAAAAAAAACATGTTAACGATAGCAATCAATAGCCATCACTACTGGCTCGGGGAGCTGCAGTCTGCCAACAGAAGTCTCTGCAGGGGGTTAGTGGCTCCTTCTATAATTGATGTTAGCAAAATATAAAGAAAATACTGGATGGTAACGTGATGTGGCTGTGTTAACCATTGTGAGCTTGGTGGCTAATCGCTGACAGCTGGCCGGCTTTGTGTTACATCACTTTAGCATTCCTACTAGTGGTGCAAATGCAAACAGACAAAGCCTGTGAAGAAGTGTAGTTCCTGTGGGAGCTCCCCAGCGGGGTAGTCCCTAAAACTAAGTCCCTAGAAGTGTTTGGTCTGAAAGCACCTGATGAGATTTTGTGTGCCCACATTCAGTTTCACCATGAGATAAATGGTTTAGACAACCTTCGGGTTTGTTTATAATCTGTGGGTTCATCTGACTGCTTGTATAATTTGTATTAATAAGCAGAAACATTATCAAAAATACAAGGAATTTAATTCCTGCCTTTAACTTGTCAGTGCTGAACAGAGCCTGTTAGGTGAAAAGATAAAGACATGTCACTGACCATAAGCTGAATCAAGAGCTGGGTTTTGCTTGCGAGTCGTCGCCAGGACATCTGGAAAAGAGAGACACAAAACAACATAAGACCGCGTGCTTATCGTTAACATTTTCTGTTGTCAGGGCTATAATTCATTCATTTCTAATATTGTTGAATCTGACCCATTTGCACTTCTCATCACAGCCCACACACATGCAAAAGAATGACAAACAACCTACTTTCTCTCAAATAAGAGAGAAACTTTTACAATCAAATACTTAATTAACACAGAAAGACTAAGAACTGAAGTCAGCAGTGATTGTGAACAGGGGCCAGCAAACCATTCCACAGGCTCCTTCTTCAGCCTGAACTGAATTGCTGCCCTCGCTGAAGTATAGATATTGTAAAGCTCCATTATAATTTGTTAGGTCCACAATCACCTGTGCCTGCTGTTGCTCTGATCTGATAACAGTCAATAGTGGTTTTTCTCCCTTTTTGTGTTTCTTAGGTAAATCGCTGAGAATAAGTAACGTTTCCAGCTCACCGTGGCAGGTGTCGGGGTGCTGATGGTAGCCGTTCACCACATCCTGTTCAAACCCGCCTCTGAAAAGAGAGAAACCAAGACAAAGACAGAGACAGGCACATTAGTACATCTGCATTAGTCCATTTCACTGACTGTCCCTTTCTAACAAAGCACCCCACTGAGTCTTCCCAAAATTGGTTTTGTTGATGAACACTGTTTGGAGACGAGGAGGTAAGTGCACCGTAACAAAATTTAATTTGTTTTGTGTCTGACCGAGGTCAGTGTGTCTGTGTCTCCTATCTGTTGTTGGACACACAGTGGTGGCCGCACCTGAAGGGGAAAGTCCACCCCTTGGGTCTTCTTACAAGGTTGTACATCATCAATTTTGTTGCGTTCAGCAGTTCACAGGAGTTAGTTTGTGAAGATAAGTTGCAAGTTACTTTTGTGTGTCCTCACTTTTTCTCGATCTACCTCACCTACTTGCTTTTAGTCACTTCCTACATCTTCTAGATCTGGGCACCTCACCTCAGACATAGCACTTTCTGTGGCTGCACTGTATTTTAGTGTCCTGGGGCGAATGCTGGGGAAATTGGTACCTACATTTTTCCTGCTCTGCAATAAATGTCTAACTGTATGGCTGTGAAATGTCATAAAAATAGTCTTAGAGGGAAGTGTGCTGATTCAGAGTGATTGTTATTTACCACTGATATTTTTGTGAAGCATTTTGTGAAGCATCCGCTCCCTCCTCATGACAGGTGACACCAGCTATACTCTGGCCACCTTTCTGCAGCAATAAGAAAAAGATACTGAAACTAGACAGCACTCAGAGAGTGCAAGTCTCCGCCAAGGCAGCTCTCTTTCCCCGTAATGCCATTACACCATGATAGTTTGATCCTCTTAATATGATTCCTTGATAATACAGACCTACTGCTGGCATCTGAAATCAAACTGATATCAACTGGTTTGAAAGTTTTTAAAGAAAAACGATAGATATGAGCAATTACTAAACGCCACGAACAGCTAAATAAATGTCCCATGCAGACTGACATAACAATAGCCACGTCTCCACCAGAGGGACTTTCCCCAGGGAGCAGGAACCTGCCTAAATTTTGCCCCAGGGCATAGTTGTCCCTCTGAAAAAAGTACGTAGTTGGGGGGTAACACTTTCGGAAGGTCAAAGAACTATCGGCCCCGCCGACATGTGGAATGTTTCTGATTGGTCAAATACAGGGCTCTACTGTGTGAGCATTTCACTCGTGTATCCAAGTAAAAATCAGTGTGCCAATGTGAAGAATGACTTAAGTGCACTGATGCAACTGACTCCCAGTTCCTTGAGTTTCCATTTTTTTAAGGAGCATTTTATCAGTAGGCCTACTTCAGGGTGGCCAATCCTGGTCAATGGAAGCTGCTGCTCTGCTTGTTTTCCAAGTATCCCAGGCCTACCTACTGCTGATTACCTGGATAAGGTGTCAATCAGAACCTGGAAGATACCAATTCACTTTGTCTTTCCTCACTCCACCTTCATCTAAGGCCGTATCTTCCAGCCTCTGATTGACTGAACACACCTGATCCAGTGTAATCTGCAGTTGGTACAGCAGGGATAGTTAGAAAATAAGCAGGGCAGCGGCCCTCGAGGACCGGGATTGCCCACTCCTGGCCTACATGAAGAGACCAGTGAGTGAGATTAGTGGATTGCAAAATATGGCTTTGGTGTTTGTAGTGCAGTGTTTCCGGGTGTTTGACCCGAGGGTGGCGTTCAGCTCCTCCACACACGGAGTGCAGCAGGCTGAGGCTGTGGAGGAGAGCATGACATGAAGTGAAACATTACTTAACAATCACTATGCTCATTACTCTACTTGCGATAAAACGTCAGTGAGCAAGAAAAATACACCTGTTAGGTGAGCATAAACGTGCATAAAAGCAATCATTTCAGTTTTGCCTGCAGCCTGTTCTCTACCGCTGGAGAAGCGAGTATTTACCATGTGGCATTCTTACAACCCTGCTGCTGACTGTCGTGCTTTTATGTCAGTGGGCTGATTTGTTTAATGTTTCCTAGGCTTCGGCCCTGCCGTGGAAATGCACATCACAATGTGCTTGAGGGTCTTTTGCCCCAGGGGCAGTTCTTGGGCTTTAGTTCCTAAGAATAAAAAGTGCCGGGGACCTTCTGGTGGAAATGCGACTAATGTGTACTTAAAGTCCTTTGTAGTCGCACACAGCTCACACCATTTTGCTGCATGTAAGTGCACTTTAGAGTAGATGTGTGTCCTGCTGTGCTTATTGGCTGCACTCGTCTTCACTCCAAGTGCTGAGCAGCACAGCTGGGGTCTCACATGTAGTAAACAACCTTTCCTACACTCACACCAGTGAAGAATCCTTTAAAGAATTGCTAAATCCGGATGATGATCTGGATCCGCACCAAAATGTAGGGCCATTGCATACCTCTCCAAAAAATCTCATCAAAATTGATTTACTACCTTTTGTGTTGTGAAAAAACAAACAAACCAACAAATGCCAGCAAAAACATTTAGAAATGAATCTAGAGATGGAAGGGTTATAATCTAAAGAAGTTTTTAAGTGATTTGGTTGATTTCAGAAAGAATCAGAGTAAATAAAAGAATTAATATTTGTAAACTGACAGTTATTTGTTGTCACTATTTTATGTACAATATGGAAGACTTGTCTTTTGATTACATCTGTGTTTTTACTTTGGGACTCAGTCTAATTAAATGAGCTTAAACTGAGGCACGTTTGAGCAAAAAGGGAAACAAATGCTCAATTATGTAAAGTAAATCCTTCAGAAATGTTTTACTTTAAACTTCCTGCCATTCTGAACTTGTTGCTGTGCAGTCCTAATCCTCTTAACTCACATTATGAACCACGTCTCCAAACTGACAAGAAACCCAATCTGACAATTACTGATTTTCTGCTGCTCTGATGAAAATGTGCCTATGACTGATACACTGTTCTACAGCAGATGCACCATCTTTCACCTTTGAGTCAATCACAAATCAAAGGCTCATCCAAGCCGACGGAAGCTCTTCTAGCTGAGTGGAGCTTCGCATCAGTGCCAACAATCCTCCCACACGTTGTAACGAACCAACTAAAATAGACACGGGCTCAAATACTGCACAAGCAAGCAAGTGTAATGATCCAGTGTTTGTGCAGAAACACTTTGTACAGACATGCATGCACACCTACTCTATGACAAACCAATTAGTTCCTTATATAACCTAAACACAAACCTACACTTCACACAGATGATGTACAAACACAGACTTCCCCACACAGCTTACACAAACCCAAGACAAACATATCATCTTGCATATACATTTCTACATGCATTTCTATAGACTCACAATCTTCAGCACAAAGCAGACTTCAGCTGCTGAGGGAAACAACAGATGTTTAACAACAGAAGTCAGTGAAGAATCATAGAGAAAGAACGCTGACCTCATCTGGGAGCGATAAAAAGTCAGCTCAGAGACTTAATCACCTCAATCCTTCTTCCTCAGTTCTTCAGCACATGTTAAAAAAGCAACTCCGCTCTCAGCTGCCAGGGTTAGGGATGTGAGGAGGCGAGGCTGCTTAGTGTGCACAGACAGACACCCTCTGCTATGCACTATAATCCACCTTGCTCTCTTATAACTTCTTTTACATTTCCTGAAGAAGGAGATACTGTCAGGCTAACAGTCAGAAAGAAAAGATATACTTTACACCTTGAAAACAGTTTTTGTGCTTGAAGTCATACAAAAACAACCCATATATGGTCTGATATCTACAGCAAGCTTCTTTTCTTTGGTACAAATCATAGTGAGACGTTTTGTTTTTTCTAGTTTATATTTGAGTCGTGTCTCGAGTGCCTGTAGCATGCAGCCCTCGCTATCACCATAACAGCTGATAAAGACACCACGGCGTCTGAGCGGATCAGAAGAGACAAATTCATTCATTCATTAAAACCCACAAATGCCAACTTTGGTTGAAAGGAGCGATAAAATGCTGTGATGTATCAGACAATGGTGCTTATTTATGTGATCTTGTTGTTAGCAGGAGAGATACTGTACACTGTTGGTTTTAGATGCTTCAGGAGAACTGCTCTGCATAATAAAAAGATACAATAACACCAGTGTCATCTTTTACTAATCTCCTCCAGACACATTTTAGGACAAAAATACTCTGAGCTCTGGTTTTTCAACAAAATGCCTTGGTTTCAAAAGTTTACCTGATAAACACAAGATGTTTCCTACTTCACTTAAAAGTGAAACTGGAGTGCACTGGAGTTTTCACATCACACCTGTGGAAGTTGCAGAATGGGCCAGTACTGGCTGGTCATTAGCAAATTAGTCACAAAATCATTTCATTCGTCCACATGTTTAAAGTGAGCATGAAAAAATGTCCACATTTGCTGTATGAATGTGAAATCAGCCTTCTAGTGTCAAACTCTGCACAGTGAAGGTCAGCATGTGGCCAACAGCGAAGCAACAACAGGCAAACCCCATGTCTGAGCAGAGGGGGACTTTACTGTGTGTACTGAAGTGAACAGCTTGTAAACAGAGTTTAGTTAAGTAGCAGGGTGACAGGTCACCTTTACGTTTGAAAAAGCACTCCAGATTTGCCGGCACCTGGCCTTCTCTGTGCTCATGCACATGAATAAACAACTGAACATGACATTGGGCAGAAATTCATTTTGCTCTACTTGGCTTTCTAAACAAGCAACTGTCTATCAGACACAGACATCTGTCTGTTTTACCCATAAACCCTCTGGCTGGCTGTGTTACACTAACTCTTACACCTCACAAGATGATTTGGGATTTTTTAGTTGCTGTAATGCTGCCATCTGATTATTAACGGCAGTGTCCTGTCTTGGTTTAACAAACTGGCCTGACTGTCTTTTCAGCAGGTTTGGTAGTTTTGATGTGTGATCATTATTATCATTATATCTTGGTGCCGATAATACAATAGTTTTGCACTCAGTGGCACAAAATTGATCACACTTGTAGATGAGAGAAAAAACACCTTTGGCTGGTTCACCTTCGGTTTTAATGACTGCAGTGTTGGCTCAAATAACACAACAGTACATTTA